CACTGGCATCACTGGTACAATAGACATTCGCTGGCGCCACTGGTTTCACTGGCACGCCAGTCTTTCGCTGGCGCCACTAGCCTCACTGGCACGCCAGTCTTTCGCTGGTGCCACTAGCCTCAATGGCACTCTGTACAAAAGAAGTTTTACTTTAGTAACAACTAGGCAAACTTTAGTAAATGTTAGTAAACTTTAATAAATGTTAGAAATTACTAGTAAAAGAAGACAAATTTCTTGAAAATGCGACATTCACTGGGTAAATGCGTAATTGTTAGCATTTCCTAGTGAATGATAACAATCACTGAATTTCCGATTTTCACTGTAACAGATACACTAAATACTTAGTAGATCATTCGGTTCGCATATGACCAATTATCGGATGAATTAGCGCAGTGTTTGCCAGTAAAGTTATTTTGTACAGGGTGAGTGGCGTGCCCGTGAGACTGGCACCAGCTACTGAATACGTGTAGAGAGATCTAGTAGCTGGAGTCATATACTATTGTTTATTATTCTGTTTTTTTTTTGTACCAGCGGACTTGATACGTGTATAGAATTCCGTAGCTGGCGCCACTGGTCTTACTGGTAGCCAGTGGAGAGCCAGTGAAGGACTGGCTTGACTGTCAGGCCAGTGGCACCAGCGAAAGACAGGCGTGCCAGTGAGGCTAGTGGAGCCAGCGAAGGACCGGCGTGCCAGTGGGGCCAGTGGCGCCAACTAAGAACTGGCGTGCCAGTGGGACCAGTTGCGCCAGCGAAGGATTGGCGTGCCAGTGGGGCCAGTGGCACCAGCGAAGGGCTGGTCTGCCAATGGCCCCACTGGCACGCCGGTCCTTCGCTGGCTCCACTAGCCTCACTGGCACGCCTGTCTTTCGCTGGTGCCACTGGCCTGACAGTCAAGCCAGTCTTTCGCTGGTGCCACTAGCCTCAATGGCACTCTGTACAAAAGAAGTTTTACTTTAGTAACAACTAGGCAAACTTTAGTAAATGTTAGTAACTTAGTAATGGCGCCAGCGACTGGCGTGCCAGTGAGATCAGTGGCGCCAGCG